AAGGGTCTAGGCCCGAAACGTCAGCCTTTCTGCTCCTATGATGCTGCTTGGCCTGCTGTGTTCATCCAGCTCTGCACCTTGTTGTTCCAAATCCTGTTGGTCAACAAGCTTTGGTTTTTATGGGTCCTACATTTGGGTCACGTAAGCATTGCAGCTGACGATTAATGTTTAAATTCCTGGTGCTGTAACTTTAGGTATTTCACAAATTGCAAGTATGAACAGACCTTGGTTTTTAATGTTACATTTATACATCAATGAAGCAATTACACCAAATTCTCATGACATTCCAACAAAAAAATATAGGAAATTAAGAACTTCTTTTGCAACTTCAGGACATTCCAAAGCACTCTGCACCCAATACAACACCTTTGAAGTGATAATGTGGGACATTTAGCACATAATTTGCACACAGATGTTACAGCTAAACTAAATCTTTAGACAGCCACCGTTGCCATCATGTTGCATAGACTAACCGGAGAGTTGGTCATCCAGGTGAACCAGCATTTCACCTGTACGCTCCTCCAATCTGATCTATTGCATTCTAGTGTATTGCATTCATGTAACCTACTCTACATTGGAGAAGCCAAACACAAACTGGCTGACTGTTTTGCACAACACCTCCATTCCCAGCTTTCCCATAGCCGGTCATTTTAACACAGTGTCCTGCTCGCATGCCCACATGTCTGTCCTCAGCATGCTGCAGTGCTCCAGTGAATCACAGCACAAACTGGAGGAACAACATCTCTGCTTCAGACTAGGCACTTTACAGCCCTCTGGACTTAATATTGAGTTCAACGCCTTCAAATTGTGAACCCACTGTCATTTCTTCCCTTTCTTCTGGCTTTACTTCTCTGTCACCGTGTCCTCTCTCCCCAAATGCTACCTCACCCCAGTGGGACTGTCTGTCCTTTCCAGTCTGGTAGTTAGACACAACATTGTTCTGCCATTCTCACATTCTGACCACTTAATCTGCACCATCAACACCCTTTCTCCCCCAGCACTGCATCCCCCCAATATTGCATACATGCTGCCCCCTCCACACTTCACATCAACTCTGATGAAGAGTCATCTAGACTCGAAACGTTAGCTTGCTCTCTCTCCACAGATGCTGCCTGACCTGCTGTGATCTCCAGCATTTTTTGTTTTCACTTTTTGCTGCCACCATCTCCTTTCAGTTTGAAATCCATAGGGTCTGTTTAGTTTCGTCAGGCAGAGGCGAAACATTTGGTTTTCAAACAAGATGGGGCCCTTAGCCTAAGCAAGATGTGGTTTACTGCATGATAGAAACTCGATATAAGTTACCTTGGTCTAAAGGACATTGTTACAGAGGAGATGCTTGACCTGACGCTATTAATATCCAACGTTGCTCTGCTATTGTCCTGCCAAATCCTTATGACATCAGCAAATTGGCTGGAAATGTCTTCCCCACTGACCCTTTACAGAATCATTACCTTTTATGACAGCAGCAAACTCATGATAAACAGCAGTGAGATAATTGGGGTACAGTATTACAAGTACTGGGGGAGTCCGAAGCATTTAAAAATAGATTGAGCGCCCAGCAGCCCCCCAGCTCACTTTGAGGTAATATTGAGAGTGGATGGGGGCCAAGATTGATGGCGGAATTTGAGTTCAATAAAAATCTGGAGTGGGGAGTCTCACAATAACCATGGTATCAGGAAGCTGCTATCCTTACCTGGTCTGGCCTACGTGTGACCCACTGCAGTGTTGCTGACTCTCAACCACATCTCAATTCCAGCATATTCAGGGATGGTCATCGAACTCTGACCTTACCAACACTATGCACATCCATAAGAATTATGGAGAAAGAGACTGTGGGGCCAAATGGCTCCTATTTCTCACGCAAACTCTCGAGATGGAGGGACAACCAATTACAAGTGAACCAGATTCTCCGTGTGTGGTTTACGGTGCACTTCGGGTAGCTGAGAGGTAAACTTTACCTAAAGTAGACGTTTTCAATTTTATCTTTTCCTTCCTCTGCCCATGTTGAGTGGCTGCGATGACAGAACTTGCCATCGCCTGCAGGAAATAGCCAGCTGCTTTATGTCTCTCTGTATCATCCAGACCTTTCCAAGCTGAGACATTGCTGAGCAGACGCTGTGAAAACTCCATGACCCTCTGTCGAGAAAAGCAGCACGTTACGTTTGAATGAGAGATAGTTTGAATGATGCTTTTCTTGGACATTTTAACAGAGGGTTGAAGGAGTTAAAGGAGCATTCTTTCCCTTGAGAAATACTTAAAAGAGCCATGCGACTAAAGATGACTGGAATCAAAATCAGAGTGTTCGCTCAGCAGGCTGAGTCTTTGTGACCAGGTTATGAGCGGCTCATAGCAGAAGTGAAAACAATAGCTTTGCAAAATTGTGCGATGGGCAAACAGAGAGGCTCGACGGATCTGTTAAAGTGACCGGCTGCAACTTGCATTTGCATGGCGCCTTTGCCATCGAAGAAGGCGCTATGCAGTCAGACCGAAGAAAGAGACGCCAAGCCGAGGGGAGACAGAAAACTTTGACCTTGGCGACGGGACTTTAAGGAACGCTTCAACAGAGAGAAGGGGTGTGGAATGGGATTTTCCCCGTTCCCCCGGCGGTGGGGCACGGAAAATCAGGATGGGAAACAAATTCAGAAATGGAAGAAGGTTAGATTTAGAACAAGCACAGAGCACCCACTCCAGGAAAGCTTCGTGGCATTTTCACACTCTCCCGGCTTGCTGAAGAGCCCGTCAGCCGCAGGGTTCAGCAACATAAACCGCGAGATTCCTTTTCTCGATTGAAGCTGTCCTGGGAAAATACACCATTGAGTATTCTGTGTGGTAAGGGACAGCTCACCTGCACTGGAAAGTCAGTCCTGGAGCTACGGTTGCACATCTCCGTGGTCCAATTCATCAAGTGACAGAAGGCAGAATTAGAGGGGGCTCTCTGTTAGTCAAAGCAAAGAATTGAACACCTTAAGAAATTGTGGAACGCTCACAACAGTGTACCGCCGTTGCAGAATGATTTAGATAGTCCATTGCAATGGGGGCATTTACAAAGCATTTATCAGGATGGCTCACTTTTCTCTCCTAATTTCCACCACCTTCTCCACCAAACACAGCTGCAGGGGCACCTTGGCATACATGTGAAGTGGTGGCAATGTCCATAATATAGAGGTTAATATTCTAGGGCCATGGGTTCAAGTCCCACCAGAGCACAAAATGACGTCTAACTAATGGTTCTGGATTGAAAGGCTCTCTCAGTAATGGTGGCTGTGAAGGTATTAGCAATTTATTTGAAAATCTGTAAATCCTTAATAGTCTGACTGCAGGCCCAAGTCAATGACCCTCAACTGCCCCATAAAATAGCCGAAGGAACCACTACTCTGTTCAAGGGCAATTGAGGATGGACAGTAAATGCTGACCTTGTCCATGATGGCTACAGCCAAGAAAAGACTATCAAAGTTAGTAAGAACTGCAGATGCTGGAGTCAGAGATAACAAGGTGTAGAGCTGGAGGTACACAGCAGGCCAGGCAGCATCAGAGGAGCAGGAAAGTTGATGTTTCGGTCGGAACCCTACTTCAGAAAAGGATATGTTTTCTTTTTAAATTGATGGGGTTGAGAGGAGTGGTGAGGCATCAATTGTTCAGCAGAGGACAGGTAAATCACCTTTCAAGGTACCACAATGAGCTGGGTAGAACGAATACAACAAGCAACTCAGACTGGGCAGCACAGTGGCTCAGTGGTTCGCACTGCTGTCTCACAGCGCCAGGGATCTGGCTTCCATCCCACTCTTGGGTGACTGTCTATGTGGGGTTTGCATATTCTCCCTGCGTCTGCGTGGGTTCCCTCCAGGTGCTCCAGTTTCCTCCCACATTCCAAAGATGTGCAGGTTAGGTGGATTGGCCGTGCTAAATTGCCCCATAGTGTCCAGGGATATGTGGGTTAGCCATGAGAAATGCAGGGTTACAGGGATAGTGTAAGGGAGTGGGATGCTGTTTGGAGGGTCACTGTGGACTTGATGGGTTGGAGGGGCCCGGCTCCACCCTGAAGGGATTCAATGAATAGGACTTGAACTCTCAACTGTTGAAGAGAAACACAATTGATGAACAAATTGATCGAATCTAGATTATAGAGCTGGAGGTTTGGTAGGGGAGTCTTAGAAAAGATAGGGAAGCTACCTACAACATCATTCGGGGAAAAATTCTGCATGAAAGATTCCCGGAACCAGAAGTAAGATGCATATTAGAAAGAATTGCCAAAAGTTAGTAAAACAATGAAGTAAAATCAATGACTCAAATTGATTAACACCCAGTGGTAAAGTGCTCTCCACGTAGAGGTAGGATATAACGTATATTTAGATATCTCTGAGATAAGCTGTGATGTAACTGTGATCTCATGGATGTTACTCTGCTCGGACTTTGGAACACATACAGCTCGGAGTATGCTGCTCTGTAGCCTTACTGTTATGCCCCGATCTTTAAAAGCAACCCAGAAATGTGGCCTGACCTCTAGGAAGAATTGAAGAAACAATACTGAAACAACTGAAGAAAATGCTACCATCAAAAAAGCTAGGCCTCAGCGCAGGCTCAGACTCGGCCTCAGCGCTGACCCGGCATGGCGGTCTCCAGGTTTGGCGTTGTGGTCTCTCAGCCTGGCACAGGAGTCTTTCAGCGGCCTGGCACGGTGGTCTGACATGGGCGGTAATCCCGTGACAGTTTTTCGGCCTGGCGTGGCCTTCCAGTCTCAAGGTGAAGAAGGCCCCATGTGGACTGAAGGTAAAAGGTGTCGGTGTGGACTGGGTTGGAAAGACTTTTATTCTGAACATTTTATTTCTCTATTCTTCTAATTTATTCTTACAATCCGTAACGCTGGACTTCTTACTTCTTTGTTTTTCTAATTTTTGTTTCCTAAGAATTTCTGTACCTAGGCAACTTGTACATAATATGGCGTCATAAGTGGTGACTTGTAAATTTTTCATGGCACACATTTGAGTACATGTGTTAATAAAAGTAATTTAATTCAATTCAATTCAAAATTCACAGTGAGCCACATACAGATTCTGGGGCTGGTGGACACAATCATGGTTGAAAATGTATTTTTATAGAGACGTTGAGAGGCAATGAGGTTTAAGGAGTGAATTCAAGAGATTTAGGCCTCAACAGTTGAAAGCAGTAAGAAATATCTTCAATGCTACAAAGCTAAGAATTCACCCAGAGCAGAAGGGGGAAGGAACTAAACCCAAGGACTTGCAGCAGCTAGTTACCAAGCAACATGGCCGACTTCCTCCAAATATAAGGAAGACATAACACTTCCTCAAACAAGAATAGCCCCAAATAAATATTAAATGGGGCACCAAAAATTTAGATGAGCTTTTAAATACTCAAAAATGACAATTCAGCAGGAATGAGTCACAAAGACAGAGAAAAGATCTGTGAGAGGTCTTTCAGGAGCTGGCTACAGTCTAACCTGCTGACAACTTCAAACCCATTAATCTCATTCTGATACTAGTGGTGGCATGGTGGCTCAGTGGCTCAGTGGTTAGCACTGCTGCCTCACAGCGCCAGAGACCTGGGTTCAATTCTACCTTCAGGTGACTGTCTGTGTGGGTTTCTACCAGGTGCTCTGGTTTCCTTCCAAAGTCCACAGATGTGCCGGCTAGGTGGATTGGTCATGCTAAATTTCCCTGTAGTGTTCAGGGGGGTGTAGATTAGGGGGATGGGTCTAGGTAGAATGCTCTGAGGGTCAGTGTGGACTTGTTGGGCCAAAGGGCCTGTTTCCACACTGTAGGGATTCTATGACATTACCAAACAGAGTCAAAGCTGTTATAAACAGGTTTACCTAAATGGGAAGGCAAAATTCCATCTGTCTTTAAGGAAAATGGATCTTTCAGAGTTAACCTTTTGATGTTAAAATATGGATTAGAAACACAAGAGCTTCTCAATTTATTTTATACTGTGCATAGCATTGAACATTATAGAAAAGATGTGAATGCATTGGAGAGAGAATGCAGAGCAATTTACAAGCATGGTTCCAGGAATGAGGATCTTCAATGATGAGGATAAATTGAAGAAGTTGAGGCTGTTCTCGTTGGAGAGAAAGAGGCTGACAGGACATCTGACAGAGGTTTTCAACATCATGCTCGCGTTGGATAGGGTAAATAGGGAGAAGCTGTTGCTGCTCACAGTAGGAACAAGAATGAGAGAGGGCATGGATTTAATGTGATGTGCAAGCGAAGCAAAGGTGATATGAGAAGAAAGATTTGCCACTTGGTGAGCAGTGGAATGCACTGTCTGGAAATGTAGTGAAGGCAGGTTCAATTGAAGCATTGAAGAGTGCGTTGGATGGTTATTTGGATCAAAATGATAGAGAAGGGTTATCAGGGCTAAAGCCTGGAGGATGGCATTCAGTCATGATGCTGGTTTGAAGGACCAGTGCTGGCATGATGGGCTGAATGGCTTGCTTCTGTACTGTCACAATTCTCTGATTCTGTGATTTGTACCCTGCACATAATGATACTTCAAGATGGAAGCGTAGAAAATAGGAATGAGGAGTAGGGCCATTCAGTCCTTCGAGCCTGCTCCACCATTCAATATAATCATGGCTGATCATCCAACTCAGACCCCTGTTCCTGCTTTCTCCCCCCCCATACCCCTTTCATTCTTTCAGCCCTAAGAACTATATCTAACTCCTTCTTGAAAACATTCAATGTTTTGGCTTCAACCGCTTTCTGTGGCAAAGAATTCCACAGCCTCACCACTCTCTGGGTGAAGACACTTCTCCTCATCTCAGTCATAAATGGCCTACCCTGTAACTTTGACTGTGCTCCCTGGTTCTGGACTCCTTGGTCATCGGGAACATCTTTCATGTATTTACCCTATGTAGTCCTGTTAGAATGTGATATGTTTCAAGAGATCTCCCCTCTTTCTTCTAAACTCCAGTGAATATAGTCCTAACTGATCCAGTCTCTCTTCAGTCCTGCTGCCCCAGGAAAGCGTACGGAGGGATATAGTGACTCAAACATGAATGTGGGAAGTTCTTACCTTCGATCCAGAGCCAGACTGGCATTCTTTATAAGTATCTGCCCCTTTCTCATCCGAAAGACATTTAAAAGGACGCCCTGAAGAACAAATGAGATGTTTAAACATCCAAATCTCCAGGAGGCAAATAGTCAGCCATCAGCATCTCACTCTGCCTGAGACAGACAACTTGTAGTCTAGCCTGAGGACCCTTCCATAAATAGGAGGTGATGACCCACTGCAGCCGGTACAGACGTTCAATCCACACCACTGATACCATGCCCAAGATATGTAGCTAACTGAGCAAACCAATGCCCACATTGTGAAGCACATCAGAAAGGACAATGTTAATGGGAAAGGAGTTACTTTACATTTGATGATGACACAACTCTACATATTACTCATTGAAGCTCTTGCTGATAAGAATTATTTTGATCATGTTTCATATTACTGCGAACTCCATTGAGTAGATATTTGAGTGCTTGTGAACTCCTACAGCTCGGTAAATCAACAGAGATGCCAGCCAGCTTATTATCACCAATTATAAATGTCGCCTCTGGTGACCAATAGCCATGGTGCCCGAGTTTCCTGTGCCTTAAGGCACCTTGCAGGGTAAAGCTGAGAAAAGATTTGTTCACTATCTGCCCATACTTACAACAAAATGTTGGCACTTTTGTGCAGGGCTGTATCATGGGCAGCTCAGTGGTTAGCACTGCTGCCTCACAGCCAGGCAGGGACCCAAGTTCAATTCCCGTCTCAGGTGACTGTCTGTGTGGAGTTTGCACATTCTCCCCGTGTCTGCGTGGGTTTCCTCCAGGTTCTCAATTTGGACTGGATGGGCTGAATGGCCTGATTCCACACTGTAGGGATTCTATGTTCCTGATCATATCAACCCTCCAAACAGCATCCCACCCTATCCCTGTAACCCCGCATTTGCCATGGCTGACCCACCTAGCCTGCACATCCCTGACCACGATGGGCAATTTCCCATGGCCAATCCTAGCCTGCACATCTTTGAATGGCAGGGGGAAGCCAGAGCACCGGGGAGAAGAATGATCAAACTCCACGTGGACAGTTGCCTGAGGGATTGAATTGAACGTGGGTCCTGGTGCTGTGAGGCAGTAATGCTAACCACTGAGCCACCCAAGGACAGGCCGATGGATGGGATATCATGACATGTTGCTTTTTGCCAAAGAGTTCCCTGGTGCATTATTAACATGTGGAGGAAGTTACAGTTGGTCTCTTCTTACAGCGGCCCCTTGTTAAGTGTCATTGTTGACAACGTTCCCCATGGGATAAGTTTTAAAGTGATTTCTATCATTAGCTGAGGTGTACAGGTGAGAAAAGGAGAGACCTACCAGTGCTCTTGTCCCCTAAAACCGTGGTGGGGTTAATGGTCGGCGTGTTTTTGTTGGCTTGAGATGTCACAATTTTTCTCCTGGTGGTTTTGTACCTTTCAGTGGAAGTTGTTACAAGATCTGATGGGAAGATGTGAAGATGATTTTAATACCACAGGAAGTTTTGTGATGCTACGCTTATGATGGACAGGTTACACACAATATTACAGACACGTAGCTGCTTCTCCTCTGATGGATTCAGGAATAATGAGCCAAATTGAGATCCCACTGCTCCAGCAAGTGGGATCTTCATGTCTGGCCCTACCTATCCCTGAGTAACTTGGGGATTGTTATCCCAGTTCCTGAAGTCAGGTATGGGAGATCCCATCTGATTCATTCAGTACTCCCTGGCCCACACACAGTCTCCCGAGGGTGAAATCAAACCCAGGTCCCTGGTGCGATGAGGCAGCAGTGCTAACCACTGAGCCACTGTGCCACCCCAGTATTTGTTTCAATACTCTTGTGAATTATGCTGAAAATTCTCACTGCAAAAAGCGAAATTGATGATGATGTTGTTTCTAAGGGTTCTAACATCTTGTATATTTATTTGGTGCCTTTATCAAGTCTGGGTACCCCATCATTATCTAGTCATAGAGTCATACAGCACCGAAACAGACCCTTTGGTCCAACCAGTCCATGCCCAGCATGATCCCAAACTAAACTAGTCCCACCTGCCTGTTCCTGTTCCATTTCCCTCCAAAACTTTCCTGTACATGTATTTATCCGAATGTCTTTTAAATGTTGTAGTTGTACCCACATCCATCACTTCCTCTGGAAGTTCATTCCACACACAAACCATCCTCTGTTTAAAAATGTTGCCCCTCATATCTTTTTTAAATCTCTCTCCTCTCACCTTAAAAAATGAGCCCCCGAGTCTTGAAATCCCCCATCCTCTGGAAAAGGCAAACAACAATTAACTCTATCTATACACCTCTTTATTTTATAAACTTCTATGAGGTCATCTCTCAACCTCCTACACTCTGGTGAAAAAAGTTCCAGCCTTTCCTTATATCTCAAACTTTCCCTTCCCAGCAACATCCTGGTAAATCTCTTCTGAACCTGATTAAATATTCTACTCAGTGCCAAGAACCACGGGAGGACTTTGCCCATCGAGGGCTACACTAGCCCACTTCAAGCACTAACAAAAAATCCCAGGTTAGACCCAGTGCAAAGTGAAACCTGTCTCAAAATCTTCACTGATGCGACAAATTTGCCCAATTATTTCAACTTTCAACTGTTGTCCATTAGAATGGCAATGCCACGTTAGTGAGGACACTTTAGCAACACTGTGACCTCGCAGACTCAGTATATATCAGCCCCTTTCACTGCAAACAAACAGTTCCAAAGAAGCTTACAGCACAAAAGGAGCCATTTCGGCCCATCTTTACTGTAAAGGCTCGTTGGAAGGAATTTCTCCCACTTCCCCACTCTTCCTCCGCATTCCTGTTACATTATTTTAATCTCAAACACGTATCAAATTCTCTCTTGAAAGTTAATTCTGAATCTGTTTCCAATGCCCTTTCTAGTCATAACAACATGTTGCATCAAAATAATTGTCCCTGTATCTCCCATGACCTTCTGCTAATCATCTTAATTCTGGGTCCTCTGATGAATGAGAGCGCAAGCAATTTTTCCGCATTTGTTCCTCTAAGACAATCTGAATGAGTCCACAGTGAATGGTCATGTTTAACGCAAGACGTTATTGCTAGGTGTTTATAATCAGATAATTACGAGGTCCAGTAATGGCACAGGTGTGGCACGGTGGCTCAGCGGTTAGCACTGCTGCCTCACAGCACCAGGGACCCGGGTTCGATCCCACCCTCGGGCAACTGTCTGCATGCAGTTTGCACATTCTCCCTGTGTCTGCGTGGGTTTCCTCCGGGTGCTCTGGTTTCCTCCCACAGTCCAAAGATGTGTAGGTTAGGATGGATTCGCCATGCTAAATTGCCCATAGTGTTCAGGAGTGGGTGGATTAGCCATGAGAAATGCAGGGAGAGTGGACTGGATCTGGATGGGATGCTCTTCAGAGGGTTGGAGTGGACGCTATGGGCCAAATAGCCAGCTTCCACATGGCAGGGATTCTATAAATAGTGAGTAGTGTCCCTGCCTTGGAGTTATAAGTCCCAATGCAGGGCATGATAGCACTCCCAAGCATGGTCTAATGCAATGCCAATGACAGGCAGCAATAGCAGGAGATAGCCCTCATTGGCCTCCTATTCCTGGTCGCAACATGCGTGTGTTGCCATAGCAATTTGGGGCTCCTTGGGAGCCCGGCAACTGGTGTGGGCCAGACTGGTGCTGATGTCTTGTGGATCGATCCCCCTTTCCAATGGGGCAAAGACCTGTCTCTTTGCCCTTTCTATGGTGAAGGTCATGACACAATTTGCCCTTTCAGGTTGAGAACATAAGATTATCTGATAACTTGCATGGACTCACTAAAGGCAACAATGAGGTCAATGATCTCTTTCTGGTCGTTGAAAATCCCATAATACTTCATACGGCAACAGTACTTGCCACGATCTCCCAATCTCAAATTGTGTATGGTTAAGGACACATCGCCTTTCTTTAGGTCACCATAAAGCTGGTATTTTGAATTCGGAGGAGAGGTGATTTGACTTCCATCAGTTGAAACCAACAGCTCGTTACAAGAAAGCCAGGAACATTCCTGTCGGCCCCAGCATATTCGTGTCGGACCATAATAATCAATGTCATAGGTGCAAGGCAGGGTGACAGATGATCCTACTTTTCCAACGATGGCTGATCTCTCTGTAAAGAGAATGAAAATGATGTCATGTACTATGGAAGAGGGTACGTTACCGAAGCGACTGAGCAGCAACAATTGAACATTCTTGGTCTTGGCTGTACTTTTTAGATTACATCCCATGATCCTACACTTCCTGGCCCATCACTATCGTCATCCCCTAGCTGTTTATTAACTCCATTCAAATAGATTTTCTGAGCCAAGCTCAATTTTTCCCTCTATTGCTCTTATTCCTTCCTTTTCTTTAAATAGAATTCCTACAGTGCAGAAGAAGGCCATTCAGCCCATTGTGTCCATCCTAAGAGAATCCCACCCTAACCCTGTAATCCTGCATTTCCCATGACCAATCCGTCTAGCCTGCGCATCTTTGGACTGTGGGAGGAAATCGGAGCACCCAGAGGAAACCCACGCAGACACGGGGAGAATGTGCAAACTCCACACAGTCGCCCGAGGGTGGAATCAAACCCGGGTCCCTGGTGCTGCAAGGCGGCAGTGCTAACCACTGAGCCACCATGCCACCACTGTCTTATATTAGCAAAGCCACCCCGACACCTTCCATTCCTGTCTGCCCTTTCAAAATGTCACAGAATCCTAAACGTTTAGCCCCTGACTTTGAATGCCTTGCAACCATGCCCATGATGGCTATAAGATCATACCTATTACGCTGTACTTGTGTTGTTCATTCATTTACTGTCCCTGATCTCAAACCAAACTTGAAATACTTCATCTGAGGAGCGTGACTGCCTCCTGGAACAAAATGGTCAAGTAACATTCCTCCTCCCTGATATGGCGAAATTCTGTAGTTCAGAGTTTAGCTCCTTAATTCAGTTCCTTGAGCTGCAAACACTAAATACAAATGTGTTCTCCTAGATCACCTTGGCATCCAGTAGCTCTTACATACTGCAGCAACAACACATCACCCATCACTATCACTTAATTACTCTAGATCCCTGCTATTTATGTTTTATTGTAATATACTTACATAAATTAAGTATATATTTAACAGGCCAAGCAGCATCAGAGGACAAGGAAGCTGACGTTTCGGGCCTGGACCCTTCATTGGAAATGGGGGAGGGGAAGGGGATTCTGAAATAAATAGGGAGAGAGGGGGAGGCGGATAGAAGATAGATAAAGGAGAAGATAGGTGGAGAGGAGACAGACAGGTCAAAGAAGGGTCTCGACCCGAAACGCCAGCTTTCCTTATCCTCTGATGCTGCTTGGCCTGCTGTCTTCATCCAGATCTACACCTTGTTATCTCAGATTCTCCAGCATCAGCAGTTCCTACTATCTCTATATATTTAACAGGTTTTTTTTTACATGGAGAGCAAAAAAGGCAACTTAAATTAAAGATCTTACTGTAAAGGTCAGAAATACCTATTTTACTCACCAGTCAGCTGCTTTCCCTGCATTTACATCACATTGAGATTCATCACTTCACTGCTGGCCTTACTCCAGGTAACCTCTGCATCTTCTATCTTCTCCTGCTCACCTCTCATTCTTTACTTCTTGCAATTAACCTGAATTGAAGCATGCCTTCCCCAACATACAAATTTCTACTTTGAACTAAATTTCTGGGTATACTCTTTACTGATTGTAATGAGGTTAGTCAGATGGTCCTCGTAGAATAGGAGTTCCCTGATTGGGGCTGTTAACCTGGTCCAATCAGGGAGTCCTGGCTGACGCATATAACCAGGAATGTCATGACTTGGTGACGGGATATCAGCCACTGTGCAGTTATTTTAATCTCTGAACAGCTTGACTAGGGAAAATAGGTTAAATAAAAAAAAACTTTAAAATTCAAGCTGAGGGTCCTCTTGTGTAACAGTGGCAGTGTCCCCACCCCTGGGTTGGGAGGCCAGGGTTCAAGTCCCAGCTGCTCCAGAGATGTGTAATAACCAGGTTGGTTAGAAAATATGCCATTTAAGAAAAAAAAAATTAAAGCTGTAGTTCTAAGCATTTTATTTAACGATGTTGAATGGAAGTGAGAAATAAAGAAAAAAAAATCAGGAGGTGAGGGGGCTCTCTTATGGAAAAGAGGGAGAGGCCCCTAGCCCTGAACTGGGAGACTTGGGTTCAAGTCCCACTTTCTCCAGAGGTGTAATAACATCTCCGAACAGGTTGATTAGAAAAATAGGTTAAATAAAAATAAAAGGAGATGAGTTGGGGCCCTCCTGTGGCACAGCGGTAGTGTCTCTACCAATGAGCCTGGAGGTTCAGGTTCCTCCTGCTCCTGAAGCTGTTGTAACAAGAAATAAACAGGAGTGTCAGATGTCCTGTTTCACTCTGAGAGAGGACTCTGAGGAAGCGAGATCGTTGTCAAGGACTCTCCACGTGCAAATAATAGGTGACTTAGTGATGGGATACCAGCCTCAATGGAGTTATTTCATACTCACTTGGTCTCCTGTTCACTCAGGTAACTGATTGTGCACCTTTCCAGCTGAAGTGTGAATTCTACCCCCTTTTGTACATTAAGGCTCGGCTATCGTGGACATTTTATGAGACAACAAGGTGCAGAGCTGGATGAACACAGCAGGCCAAGCAGCATCATAGGAGCAGAAAGGCTGACGTTTCGGGCCTAGACCCTTCATCTGAAATGGGGGAGGGGAAGGGTGTTCTGAAATAAACAGGGAGAGAGGGCGAGGCGGATAGAAGATGGATAGAGGAGAAGATAGGTGGAGAGGAAACAGACAGGTCGAAGAGGCGGGGATGGAGCCAGTAAAGGTGAATGTAGGTGGGGAGTTAGGGAGGGGATAGGTCAGTCCAGGGAGGACGGACAGGTCAAGGGGGCGGGATGAGGTTAGTAGGTAGGAGATGGGGGTGCGGCTTGAGGTGGGAGGAGGGGATAGGTGGGAGGAAGAACAGGTTAGGGAGGCGGGGACGAGCTGGGCTGGTTTTGGGATACGGTAGGGGGAGGGGAGATTTTGAAGCTTGTGAAATCCACATTGATACCATTGGGCTGCAGGGTTCCCAAGCAGAATGAGTTGCTGTTCCTGCAACCTTCGGGTGGCATCGTTGTGGCACTGCAGGAGGCCCAGGATGGACATGTCATCTGAGGAATGGGAGGGGGAGTTGAAATGGTTCATGACTGGGAGGTGCAGTTGTTTGTTGCGAACCGAGCGTAGGTGTTCTGCAAAGCGGTCCCCGAGTCTCCGCTTGGTTTCCCCGATGTAGGGGAGGCCACAACGGGAACAGCGGATGCAGTATACCACATTGGCAGATGTGCAGGTGAACATCTGCTTGATGTGGAAAGTCTCCTTGGGGCCTGGGATGGGGGTGAGGGAGGAGGTATGGGGGCAGGTGTAGCACTTCCTGCGGTTGCAGGGAAAAGTGCTGGGTGTGGTGGGGCTGGAGGGGAGTGATGAGCGGACAAGGGAGTCACGGAGAGAGTGGTCCCTCCGGAAAGCAGATAAGGGTGGGGAGGGAAAGATGTCTTTGGTGGTGGGGTCGGATTGCAGAGGCGGAAGTGTCGGAGGATGATGCGTTGGATCCGGAGGTTGGTGGGGTGGTATGTGAGGACGAGGGGGATTCTTTTTTGGTTGTTATTGCGGGGACGGGGTGTGAGGGATGAGTTGCGGGAAATGTGGGAGACACGGTTGAGGGCGTTCTCGACCACTTAGGGGGGGAAGTTGCGGTCCTTGGAAAACGAGGACATCTGAGATGTACGAGAGTGGAATGCCTCATTCTGGGAGCAGATGCGGCGGAGGCGACGGAATTGGGAATGGGGATGGCATTTTTGCAGGAAGGTGGGTGGGAGTAGGTGTATTCTTGGTAGCTGTGGGAGTCAGTGGGCTTGAAATGGATATCGGTTTCTAGGTGGTTGCCCGAGATGGAGACAGAGAGGTCCAGGAAGGAGAGAGAGGTATTAGAGATGGTCCAGGTGAACTTAAGGCTGGGGTGGAATGTGTTGGTGAAGTGGATGAACTGTTCGAGCTGCTCGTGGGAGCATGAGGCGGCGCCGATACAGTCATCAATGTAACAGAGGAAGAGGTGGGGTTTAGGGTACGGAAGAGGGATTGTTCCACGTAACCTACAGAGAGGCAGGCATAGCTTGGGCCCATGCGGGTACCCATGGCCACCCCCTTTGTCTGTAGGAAGTGGGAGGAATTGAAAGAGAAGTTGTTGAGGGTGAGGACGAGTTCGGCTAAGCGGATGAGGGTGTCAGTGGAGGGGGACTGGTCAGGACTGCAGGACAGGAAGAAGCGGAGGCCCTTTAGGCCATCTGTACGGGGAATGCAGGTGTATAGGGACTGGACGTCCATGGTAAAGATGAGGTGTTGGGGACCGGGGAATTCGAAGTTCTGGAGGAGGTGGAGGGCGTGGGTGGTGTCACGGACGTAGTAGGGAGTTCCTGGACCAAGGGGGAGAAAATGGAGTCCACTCCCCTCCAGCCCCACCACACCCAGCACTTTTCCCTGCAACCGCAGGAAGTGCTACACCTGCCCCCATACCTCCTCCCTCACCCCCATCCCAGGCCCGAAGAAGACTTTCCACATCAAGCAGATGTTCACCTGCACATCTGCCAATGTGGTATACTGCATCCGCTGTACCCGTTGTGGCCTCCTCTACATCGGGGAAACCAAGTGGAGGCTCGGGGACCACTTTGCAGAACACCTACGCTCGGTTCGCAATAAACAACTGCACCTCCCAGTCGCGAACCATTTCAACTCCCCCTCCCATTCCTCAGATGACATGTCCATCCTGGGCCTCCTGCAGTGCCGCAATGATGCCACCCGAAGGTTACAGGAACAGCAACTCATATTCCGCTTGGGAACCCTGCAGCCCAATGGTATCAATGTGGATTTCACAAGCTTCAAAATCTCCCCTCCCCCTACCGTATCCCAAAACCAGCCCAGCTCGTCCCCGCCTCCCTAACCTGTTCTTCCTCCCACCTATCCCCTCCTCCCACCTCAAGCCGCACCCCCATCTCCTACCTACTAACCTCATCCCGCCCCCTTGACCTGTCCGTCCTCCCTGGACTGACCTATCCCCTCCCTAACTCCCCACCTACATTCACCTTTACTGGCTCCATCCCCGCCTCTTCAACCTGTCTGTTTCCTCTCCACCTATCTTCTCCTCTATCCATCTTCTATCCGCCTCCCCTCTCTCCCTATTTATTTCAGAAC